GGGGGGGCAGACATGACAGTGGGGTTCAAGGTTGGGATGGGCTATCAGAAGACAGAACTAGGGCCAGCGGGGGTGTTGCTTAAGAAGTGAACGATCCCTTCAAAAAATGGGTCAGTTGGGTAGTAAGAGTATGGGACAACTGGTAAACAGCCCCAGTATGGGACTGGAGGTCATTCCCAGCCTACTCTTCTCTCTGAACCTCCTACAACAGTCCCAGAGGACTCCGTCTCATTGAGAACAGAGAAAGCAGAGGCTGGTGGCCGTGTCCACCCATTCCCCCCTCCCCTAATCTCACAATCCTTCAACACCATCCCCCCCCCGCCCACCCCCCGACAAGGAGGTCAGCCTTCTCCTAGCCATGGTCTTCTCCCATCTCCTGCTGTCTTCCCCAGCAGATGGTCCTTCCCATTATCTGCCCTCTCTATGGTCCTCAGCCTCTCCTCATCCATCAGTTCCTTCTCTGCCTTGTTGCTGCAAACAACTGACCAAGCCTACTGTGCTCTACCACAGCTAAGGCATCACGCGATTACTCTTCTCATTCTCAGACTAGGACCTAGAAGAAGCCGCTTACACTCCTGGTCTCCGCTCCTCTTCCTCCAACTCCTCCCCCAGCTCTTTGGAAGCTGAATTCGAGGATCTTGACGCAACTGAGGTTGCCCTTTCCAAAGCATGTCCAGTGGCCTCTTCTTAACCTTTAGCCTCCTTGACCCCTGCACAGCTTGACACAGCTGGTCACCCTCTCCTCCCTGGACTCCTCCTCAGCGTCCTGTGCCAGTCACCTTCACTAAGCCTAGGTGTTCCCCATGGCTTTCCCATGAGCCCTCTTCCCTTCTCTCTGTGACCTCATCACCTCCCATTGACTCAATGACCATCTTCATGCAGAAGATTTCGGGATCTGTTCAGCCAATTCTCCTCCCCCTCCTGAATACCAGTCCTTCATGGCAACTGTCTGTCAGACATTTTGAACCTAACATCCCCTGGGCATCTTGAACTCAGTATCCCCAAAACAGAACTCGGTACCACAGCACACTGATCAGATTGGCTAATGTGACAAAACAGGAAAACGATAAATGTTGGAGAAGATGTGGGAAAATTGGAACACTAATGCATGGTTGGTGGAGTTGTGAACAGATCCAACCGTTCTAGAGAGTAATTTAGAACTATGCCCAAAGGGCTGTAAAAATGTGCATACACTCTGACCCAGCAATAGTACTTCTAGGGCTGTATCCCAAAGAGATCATAAAAATGGGAAAAGAACCCACATGTACAAAAATATTTATAGCAGCTCTTTTTGTGGTGGCCAAGAATCGGAAATCGAGGGGAATGGCTGAACAAGTTTTGGTATATAAATACAATGGAATACTATTGTGCTATAAGAAATGATGAACAGGTGACTTCAGAAAAACCTAGAAAGACTTGTATGGTCTGATGCTGAGTGAAGTGAGCAGAACCAGGAGAATGTTGTACACGGTAACAGCCACGTTGTGTGATGACTAACATTGATAGACTTAGCCCTTCTCAGCAATGCAAGGATTGAAGACATCTCCAAAGGCCTCATGATGGAAAATGCTGTCCACATCCAGAGAAAGAACTATGGAGTCTGAAAGCAGATTGAAACATACTTTTTTTCTTTTCTGTTTTGTTTTGTTTCCTCTTTCTGTTGGTTTCTCCTATTGGTTCTAATTCTTCTTTACAACATCACTGATGTGAAAATATGTGTAATAGGAATGTATTTGTAGAGCCTATATCAGATTGCATGCCCTCTTGGGGAGGAAGGGGGAGAAAACTGAAAACTCAGAAGCTTATGGAACTGAATGCTGAAAACTAAAAATAAACAAATTAATTAAAAAGTTACCCAGAATTTGGTATCTTTCTCTCCAGAGTTTTGTATCACTGTCAAGGGCACCGCCATCCTTCTGAGTGACCAGGCTCATGCCTTCAGGGCCAGGCTCACCTCCCCGCTTGCTCTCTCGCCCCCCACATCCCTGTCAGTGAATCCTGCCATTTCTAACAGTAAATAGCGAGCATTTAGATGGTACTTTGAGGTTTGTAAAGCACTTTACACACAGCATCTCATGTGGCTCATGATAACCCTGGCGGAAGATAGTAGAATTGTCCCCATTCTATAGATGGGAAACTGAGGCAGTCAGAGGTTAAGTGACTTGCCCAGGGTCACACATCTACATGTCTGGGACAAGATTGGAGTCTTCCTGACTTCCAACACTCTCTCACTCAGGTGCCCACAATACTTCTCAAATATGCCTCTCCCTCTTCCTTCACACAGCCAACACCCAGAGGCAACATGGCGTAGTGGGCAGTGACAGGAGCTAACATTTATATCAAGCTTACTACGTGCCTGGCACTGTGCTAGGCACCTTACAATCATTTCACCTGATCCCTCAAACCACCCCGGGAGGCAGGTGCTGTTATGAGAGGGCTGGATTTAAAGAAAGGTAGACCTGAGTTCAAGTCTGGGCTCAAGCACCAGCTGTGTGACCCTGGGCAAGTCACTTAACCTCTGCCTGCCTCAGTTTCCTCATCTGTATAATCACCGGGTTGGACTCAGTAGCCTCTAAGGCCCCTGCCTCTCCCTGCTCCAATGTGCCAATCCCACCTTCCACATAGCTGCAGGTCATTTTCTGACCATGTCACTGCCTTCTCCACAAATTCCATCAACTACCAGGATCAAGCATAAGCTCCTTCATTTAACATTTAAATCTCTTCATCCCTGGGCCCCTTTCCCTCCCAGGCCCTTCTGTGCTCTCTGTATTACAGTCAAACCCGCCTACTGGCTGTTCTGCACATATCCAGTCTCTGCACCTTTGCCTGGACAGTTCCCT